GCCAAATATATGCAGGCGTGTACGCGTGTGCTGGTGTGCATACGCAGGCAAGAAAATAAATAATCATCAAATTTATGCATGAGGTGTAAATTTAATAGTGTTCAATGCAGAGTAAAGATATGTATTAATTAGTACATATACGTCGTGTACCTATGTTTTGGTTTCTCAGCTCATCGTGTCCTACTCTATTTTCTAGAGAAAAATTTGGTTTGTGTTGATATCTGTGTACACGATCAAATTCAAATCATTTTCACAGTAGCCATTCTATCAGTTTTGTATTTTTCATCATTCCTAGTGTTACTGTTATTATTACTTAGTAAGAGAACAATACGGCAACAAAGTGACGCTGGGATACAAGTATAGGGAACCAAATATATTACCCCATCAGGCTGATAAATGTCTGCTCGGAACATACATTACAGCCAAATTGTATATGCAAATACTAAAAAGGGTATTTTGATAAAAGCAGAGCATATCTATGCAGGTGAAGACCAATTAGAAATACCATCAGATTGACTAACCCGGTCAGATTGAGAGTGTTCACAAATATTAAACTCATAAATATATTAAACGTGACTCTCAAGTTCCCATGGATGCCTTATCCTTCAAACTAAAAAAAAAAAAAAACCCTTGATACTCGGCCATGATACTCACCTACAGCTCCCGCTTATGATAAGAGATTCACAGTGCGTCCGACTCTAGGGGATGTACTCCACTTGTTAAGAAACTGAATAGGATATTTAATGTCGCCCATCTTAATTCATCAAAACAAAACATGTACATGTTAACACTGCCAGTCAGTTAAGATAAAAAGCCATCAGATCTATGCATCGTGTATTATCATTTAGATTATTTAAAAATTAATCAAAGATTCAAAATTTAACAAGAGAAAAAATTGAAACCAAAAATAAATGGTTATAAGAAGTGAAAAGTCTTCACTACAAGCACATGACAACATTATTCTTCTCCCCAACATTGGTCCAATAATTAGCACAATTTACATGTAGCATTGCAAGATTTTTCAAATTATTCTGACATTTCTAAACTCTTGCTTCTAACGAATGCGTTTTAATGTTTTCTTTGTGAATTTCAATTTTTATAAAACACATTTTTCGCTTCAACTTATAAAACAGTAATGTAATACTCATTATCTTTGCATATAAAATATATAGACAATCTTTAAAATCTGAGTTCAAATACTGTCATGCTGAATTTTATTTTAAAGTTTCTATAATTGATTGTACGAATGAAACACTTTTTTCCCCACAAGTATCACTATGTGCAGTGGATTCCACTAATTGCTATTAGCGACCAAGTTCTAATAAAACTCCAGATCTTAGTGAAAACGAAATCCAATTCTTGCTGTCACCATAGTCGTTAGTTATTAATTAATATAATTATCAATTTACTTTTCTATTACTGCCAAGGTAACAGCATGAAAAATCTGTTACTCCGATTGATATAAATCAATTATATTTGATATTAATATTATATTTCTCTCGATTATTATGATTAAAAAGGTCTTTATTAAGCGGTATTTTGTACCAATGTTTATCTGGGATTTGTCGAAAATTCAAATTTCTAATACTGTACATGGAAATAATGATTGTAAGAAAAATGTTTTCAATTCAAAGATAAAATAGAAAACAGCTTTAAAAATTTTTGATATGAAGAAATGTAAAAAAAATACTTAATTTGAAACGAGATGAAAAAAATTAAAAAAAACATCTTCGAAAATTACAGAGAGGAAAAACTAAGATTTGGAATTAATTTCCAGCTAAAAACACAGCTAACAAAATAAACTTAAAAATAAGTGTTAGCTTTTGTTTAGTCTAATAAAATGTTCTTTTTAATTAAACTTCCCCTGGAGATTTGGGCAGAGAAGGAAATATGTAAACATTAAATCGTAAAACCTTCATAAGAATATTGGCATCTACAGATTTTGGCAAACGTTGATTCATAAATCAAGAACCATTCACAAAAAATAATGGGAAGGAAAAAAATAGATGGATAACATTTGAAACCAAATAGAAGCCAAAGATATTTATCTTATTTTGCAAAAACTGCTACTTCCTTTGGAACGCTGACATATGCAATGAGAAGACGTGCAAAACTCAGAAAATGTTGAATTCAGCATGTTAACCCATTTAACCTCATTTTAAAATAAATGAAAACTGAGATTTCATTTAAAAAAAATTCTTATAAGACTATAAAACGTCTGGATGAAAAAAAAATTATTGCCGACTCTTTCATGGGTATGATTTAACGTTTTTATTAATTCAAACTTTATTTTTAGTGGATACCTGTATTTTAAATAGACTACGTTTTTATTTTTATTTTAAACAGTGTGTATTACGTATATCGGTCTGCACATTCGAGAAAAGTTAAATATGCTTTCCGGCAGGTTTCAAACTTGTCTTTCCCTTTATAGGAGAGACGCGAACGTATCCCACCCGGCATATTTTAGACTGCACAGGCACTGTCAGCGTAACAATCCAGCAAAAGGTTCTATTTCCTGTTTTAGTACAGAAATGCATTGGTAAACAGTCAAAATGACATTGTTAGTAATAACGAATTATTGAAATCGTTACTGACAGAATAATGCTATGATATAAAGTTGCTAGAATTACTGTACTTTGAGAATAGAAATGAATTGAAAGATGGTTTAATTGAAATTTACTTGTTTGTTTGTTTAACGGCATATCAACTCCTTATGGGTTATTTAATACCGAAATTTAATTTTCTTATGAACATTAGTAATTTCTTTTACAAAAATGTACTGCTGATAATTGTTTTAGAAGGTATTTTTACTATATTTTTAAATACTTTCATCGTGTTTTGACCCCATTGTGGGGGTTAACTATTTGTCCATAGTTGGGACCCTGACAGGTGCTACCACCCCAGGCCAGGGTGGACCTGGGAACGGCATCAATTAAGAGGTGGTTCCACGCTCTTCAAAACCTCCTGATGAGAGGCCTTGCTGCCAGATGTAGTTTATCATCATACCCAGGACAAGATTTATGAAGTACTTATTGACTGAATAGATATATATTTATGTATGGCTAATGACGCATTGCTTTGATTTGACTGTAGGAAATCATTCAAATTAATAATCGACTCCCCATATATATATATATATATATATATATATATATATATATATAAAACCGCCATTGATAGGTTGGAGGTTTAAGATAATGGACAAGATTAAGAATAAAGCTCCCAATCATATGTCCTTGAAAGTGTAAGAAGCGGTGGGAAAAGTGTGTCTCGGCACAAGGCTACAGTTAAAGGCCACCTAGTGATGATCAAATTCATTTCTCAATAGTAAAAAGACTAACTTGTTGACCATTACAATACGACAAGGCACCAGTGGATGATAATTTGCAATTTCAAATAACAATTTCTACATCACGATCCACGCTTAGAATAGACGCCCGGACGCCCGTCGTAAAGAGATTTCTAATCGTTTCTCTCCAAGTAAGGTGATAATGCCACCGAGAAGCAAGGGGTTACTGAGAGTGAAAAAAGATGAAAAAATGTTATTGAGGAGAAAAGACAACAAAGGAACAGGAAGACAGAAATTAGCGATTTATGCTGTATTTAAACTTTTGAAGGCCGTAATAACACGAAAGCAAGATAGCAGAAGAGATTTCCAAAAAGCCGGAAAATAAACTATTATAATAGAACTCAAGGTTCTATCTATTTCAATAGTAAAACGATGAGAACTGGTTGCCAGTCCAGTACTATGTCTTAATTTATGCAGTCGTGATACTAAAGAAGAGAACTTATTAGAACAATTGCCATGAAAATATTTATAGAAATGGCACGAGGAAAGCGACATCATGGCGATGGGAAAGCGACGGAAGTAAATGTCACGTCAAGACCGATAAGATCCTTCTTTGGATTTTAATCGAGAATCTCGAGCTATAATAGCAAGATCTCCAGGCCAGATGTAGGGATCAATATCCAATGCACAAACGAATGATTGATTTATAGATGTGCAAGATGGATTCTAACGGGAATAATTGTTTAGCACAGCACAATGAACCAACATTTCTAGCAGCATAACTACCAATTGATTCAATATAGTAATACCATTTTTATGCAAAGTGAAAAATGTGAGACCGAGAAGGCGCAATGTTGCTCTCCTCTTGGTTAGCATTAGCCCTAATGATGGAAGGTAAAAATGGTTTCCTTAGATGACAAAGATAGTAGTTGTGTTTTGGAGACGTTAAAGATTACAAGTCATTTCATTCTCCAACAGTTTGTACGTCATTTTTAAGATCAGCAACCAGTTTTACTTGGTCTAACGAACTTACTATTAAGTGTTACTCGTAAGTCATGTCACCAGTACAAATACCGATCTGGGAAATGGAGACAACGGGAAAGTCTTTGATCAAAATAAGAAAATAATAGGTCCAAGGATATAGCTTTTAAAAACTCTTAAACTACCGATATTTCATCGACTACATAAATCGAAAATTATACAGAAAAACAATACAGATTCAAATTCAGTTACTAAGTGTATCAAGTTACGAACGTATTGATTTAACATTACACGTACTAGTATATTTTAATGTCATTTTTGTTGAAATAGTAAGGGCAATTATACATTTCGTTGGGATCGGCAAATTTTTCTTCGATTCTTCGTCGTTTCTTTTACGAAACTTTTTATACCTTTCAGGATTTGCGGTTGGTGTAATGGATAACGGTTCGGAATGATAAATCGGAGAACCGGGTTCCAATTTTAGTTAGGTTTGTTACACTCAGTGACTGTGGGAAATGTATGAATTCATTTCCTCCCCTCAGCCATGGGTTAACTTGCAGGACTTGTACATGGAAAAATCATCGTTATTCTAAAAAAAAATTAATGCGATTTTTACTAAAAATATTCTTATATACTTTTGACTTTAAATAACTCTCACAAGGTTGATAAGTCGTAAAAAAAAACAAATCAATCAGCCGTCTGTTAATTATTTATTCCTTTTCTCTCATATATGTTTCTTTCTGTCTTTCATTCTTTTATTTCATTGATTTTCCTTTCTTCTTTCTTTCTTTCTTTCTTTCTTTCTTTCTTTCTTTCTTTCTTTTCATTTGACTTTTCCTTTTTCGTGTCATTCCTCTCTTGGTTCATAAACGTTTTTCCTCTGCTTTCTTCCAGTTTTCTAATTCTCGTTCTCTAAATTCTCCTCTTTTTACCCTTCCTTTCGATCTCTTATCTGATTCAGATGCGCCTTTGGTTTCGTCTGTTGATCTTCCGACGGCGTTAGAGAATTGTAGAAGTTTTATGAAGGTGCTTTGTCACGCATCAAGCGCATTGCCAAGTAAAGTCTGGATAGTTGCCAACATTGAGATAACAATATTTGCGAGTATACATCAACATTTAAGGAAAAAAAAAGTATCAGGATTCTAAATAAACAAAATCAGTTCACACACACACATATATATACAGAGAGAGAGAGAGAGAGAGAGAGAGAGAGAGAGAGAGAGAGAGAGGGGGGAGAATAATATTTGGTTAGATAATATAATCATTTTCATTTGAACTACTGTTCTCTGTTCCGGAGTTTTCAGTCGTTTTATACTTAATATGCCATTTTAGCCTAACTTCGGTCTATATTATATCCGGTCTTTACATTGGCATTATATTAGCGTTATTTTGTCAGAATGTTTCTTACAGTGCTAAAGATTGGATATCAGATACGCATGATGAATGCAAAAGAAAACCGGAACGGAAATGTATTAAAAGCAACAAAAATGAAAAAAAATATTTCGAATAAAGAATCAGAAAGAAATCAAAGCTTCCGAAATCTACTCTCTACTTCACTAAACAAATGAATTTTAGTTTGAAGTCGAAAATAAATAACATTACAGAAGAAATCAATTGAATACAAAGAAAATATAGTTGAGTTTTACTCAGATTATTAAGGAAAATACAGTGCAAGAGATACAGAATATTAAAAAAATACACTAGACAGTAATGATTAATTGATTGATTTGTTTTTTACGGCTTATAAACACTTTGCGGGTTACTTAAAGTCAGACAATATTTTTTGATTGTAAGAATCTTTTGAGATAATAAATGATTTACTGGTATAAGTCCTACTAATTAACCCATAGTTCGAATGAGAAGAGTTGAATTCATACCGTTACCCAGGGTATTTGAGCATAAGTGAATATAACCATTAAACTACCCGCACCTCCAAGCTTACAGCACCTGGTATTTTGAGGCGGTCACCCATCTAGGTACCAAACAGGATCGACGTTGCTTAACTTCGGTGATCGTACGAGAACTAGACCTGAATATTAAAAAAGATACTGTCCAGTTGTTATAGGAGGGTCGGCTGAAAAGATCATAATCTGGCGAAAAGATCATAATCACATGGAATATGATCAAAAGAGGTTTTTTTTTCAGCATAATCCCTTGCCGCCTATACACTTCTTCCATTGGTGGTTCATTCTGTTGGCTCCAAAAGTCATCAACAGAAGATATGCATTCCAAGCCAAGTGATTTCTAATGTTGGGGAACAGATGATAGTTAGATGGTGTCAAATCAGGAGAATAGGGAGGATGATCAACCAGTTCAATGTCACAGTCATGCACAGCAGCCATTGAAACCAGTGACTTTTTTGCTGGCGCTTTGGACGCTTTTCATCAGTTTTCCTTGATAGCCTTTTGCAACTGCCTCACCAAGTTAGCATATCACTCACCATTGATGGTGTGGCCCTTTTCAAGATAGTCAACAGACAGAATGGCTTTTGCATAAAAAAAACCGAGGTCATCACCTTCCTTGCAGATGCAACAACATTGGCCTTTTTTGGAACAGGTGAAGAGGCGTATTTCTACTCCATGGATTGTCTTTCTCAAGGTCAAAGTGATGAACCTAATACAAATCCTGGGTCAGGAAACGTCCAAGGAAACCAGATGGATCTGCCTCAAACAATATCATATTTTCCCGTGTTGTTATCAGACTGCTGCGCTTTTGATCAGGTGTCAGAAAACGTGGAATCCATCGAACTGAACCTTCGTCATGCTAAATTCATTTCCGACTCTCTAACGGGATATATTAATGGCATTGGCTGTTTAATTTAAGTTGACTGTTATCCATCACCATGTAGTGAATACGATCAATAATCCCTTCGGTGGTGGCAATTTCAGGACTACCCAGAACTTGGGTCATCTTCAAAACTCTCTCTTCCCCTCTTAAATTCAGCTGCCCACTTTTGCACCTGGAGCGTCTCCAATAATTCAGCAAACATGTTAATATGAATTTCCTTATTAACTACGGATGTGATCCAGTCTTATATCCCTAGTGAGATAATACTGACGCGAACACAATTTGTAATTTATCATTTTTATTTAGTTTATACTTTGTATTAATTCACATACCCCTTATTTCAATTAATATACCCCTTATTTCAACTAATATACCCCTAATTTCAAAACACAAAATTATACTAATGCGAAAAGCGTCGTATATTGGGAGAGAAAAAAATGCCCCGTCTTTCGTATGTGCATATGTCTCTATTATCACTTCAATATCGCTTTCAGCTTCAGATTCGTGGATATCTCATTTCTGGATGGGTATAACTCTGTCCATATTCTTTATGGTTTGGTCTATTTTTTTTTTTTTTTTTTTTTTTTTAAATCGAAAGTGTTCCCTTATCTGCTCTCTTGTTACTGTTAATTAGCCATACTGGTTAGATGGTACGACATGAGGACAGTGTTCTAACTTATCTGGAAATGTTCCAGGTACACATCCGCAAACTGATAGCTCCAATGTTTCACCTTGCAATATGCCTACTCAAAAGGAACCTAAGTAAGCCATTCTTGCTGTATTTGGCGACGGGACAATGTGACGCAGGTGTCAGAAGCATCAATCGTTCACCAGAGATTTACGTTGAACGAAGACAGCTGCTTCTAAGATCGTATATCTTGGAAGTGAATAGATAAGACGAAAATCAGAAGAAGGAGAAATAAAAAGAAATAGAAAATATTCCCAACCTACAATATTAATCCAATTTTGACATCAATACGACCCATATACCAGCAACATCCTGCTTTGAGTCGATTTCTTACAGATGACTGAATGAAAATTACTTTCGTTTATACATTCTGTGTATAATGTGATTAATGAGGTTTTGTAGGAACAAGAAATTCCCTTCTTTATTCAAATTTTCTGCTTGTTTATTTTTTTAATTTACACATGATCATAGTCGGTAATGCGATAAAGGAACAGATTTGGAAAATAAATGAAAACTCCTGTAGCAGAGAAAATTTTCACTAAAATTTAGATTAAGACAGTTTACTAATAAATTAATTGATCGCATTATATATATATATAAAGAGAAAGAACAGTAAGATATATAATCCAGTGTTCTTATTAATTATTTTTATTTTTACAAATCAGTGTTCAATGCAAATCTACAGAGCATAAATATTACAAATTTACTAATTTACAAATATGTTTCCATCGCTACACAGGAATTACCATGTTTCAGAAACAGAAACTGAAAACTTCAAAATTCAATTACAGAATTAAATTAAAGTCCCTAGTCCTGCTTCATTTTCAAGCGAAGTTTGGAAGTGCCGAAAAAACTTTCGTCGTTGATAAAGACCAGACGACATGCGATGAACGGATGTCATCATTCGTTGGAAACCTTAACTTAACCGCTTTTCGAAAGTAACTCGTATTTTGATTCAATAGTTGTCAGTGAAAATGAATAGCCTACCACCCCTTGTTAAAATGATTGGATTTCTTCGTATCCTTAGTAACTAATATTAAGAATGTATGTGCTTATAAAACTCAGTAAATTTCAAAATAAGTTATTCCAAAATTCGCTTGAAAATGAAACAGGACTAAAGACTTTAATTTAATTCTATAATTGATTTGAAGTGTTTAGTTTCTGTTTTTGAAACATTGTAATGCCTGTGTAGCGATGGAACCATATTTTAAAATTAGTATTTTATATATATATATATATATATATATATATAGAACATTATGATGTAGAGGAACTTTTAATACACAATGAAATTCTAACAAAACTAGAAATTGGTTTATTTTTTTAAATTATTTCACCTAATTCAAGGAGATAATATTAATAAGACGCATGAGGTGAGTGGAATAGAAGGACGAGACTTTAGTGATATATATCTATATCTATATATATATATATATATATATATATATATATATATATATATATATATATATATATATATGAGGAAAGAGAGGTAGAAAATTATTGAATGATATACAAATATAAATATACGGTTACATATATATATATATATATATATATATATATATATTTCTAAAAAGTAATAAGACGTAATGGATTTTTCATTTCTTAACCTGACTGATTTTTCACACACACACACACACACACACACACACACACACACACACACACACACACACACACACACAGACAGATATATATATATATATATATATATATATATATATATATATATATATGTAATCGAAATTTATTTATATCTATGAACATATTCACTAAAATACACGTGACAAGGTTATAGAATGATGAACTGAAAGACGTATATAGATAAAAGGAATTTTGATGGTTAGCTACTCTTGGCTGCTATCAGAGAATTCTTGGCCCAAGAGATAATATCCCCATGCTCCAGGCAAAAAGGTGAGGTCAGAAGTTCTGGTTTTAAAATCCTCTTCGGATCTTTCCTCGTCCTTATTGTTCATGACAAGTCAAAGTGGATCTTAGAATTTGATGGAAGTGGTCGTCAGCCTCTTTTCACTTATTCAGTAGTTCTTGTTGAAGCCTGACAGTTGAAGTTCTAATCTTTTACGATTTTCACACTACCTTTTTTATTGTTTGATGTTAAAGAATGAAATACTTTCCTTGTTTTGCACATTATTAATAAATAAACTAGATAAATAGTTTTCATATGTTAAAAATGTTACCAACGATCTTGTTCGAGGTGTTATATTGGCTCGCGCAGTATATCATACCCTTATGTAAGTGACCTAAACATGTTCTCATCAGGTTTTTTTATATAAAGAAAAAATTAAGTCATTGTCTTCAATATCAGGTAAAACTAAGAATCAGGAATCTTAACATTTTTCAGCATGAATTGGCCCAAACTCAGCGCATATGACTCCTGAATTGACGAAAAAAGAAAGGAAATATAAATATACCAACTATAAAACAACAGATATTGGTAGATGATCTCTATTCCGATCTAGCATGAACTACTCACTGGGGAAAAAACTAGCTGTTTACATTCAATGCCTCAAAACTCAGACTAGTTAAATTCCATCATCGTCAATCGGGCCAGAACTACCACCAGTCACGATGAAGAGGCACCATGCATTAAGATACTTTTGGTTCTTAAACTCATATCTGACATCAAGTGGAACTCATACATACGAGCCATCGCTAAAGATGTAGGTAAAATAGTCGGCTCCCTGTACCGCTCCAGTAAGTACTTGACCCCACGCGCTATTCTCTACCCATAAAAAGCCAGATCAGGCCAAAAATGTAGTACTATTTGGGCGGGAACTGCCCAGACCGTCCCTTTCGTTCTTAATAGAGTTCAAAAGCGTCTTCGAGTCCTTTTGAGTGAGGAATTATTTTCCACCCACGAAACTCTATCTCACAGGCGGGATGTGGCAAGCCTCTCCCTGTTCTATCGCTACTACCATGGAAAGAGCTCGAACGAAATACATTCCTTGGTTCTGTTAGGTCTAACATTCACGGCAAGGAACCGCCATGCCATTACATTTTAGCGGACCACCCACAATTCCATCTTTAAGAAATAAGTTCCCCGCGAACAGCTTCTTCCCGCGAACTACTGCTCTGTGGAACCGACTCACAAGAAGATGTTTCCTCGATCACTGCAATCTTAGCTTGTTCAAGTCTAGGGTTAACCGTTATCTTCCGCTCTGACCCGTACAAACTGCCTCCTAACGTAACCCTCTACTTCGAGTACCCCCCAAGTCTTGTACAGGGCGAACTTCACTATGAAAAAACGAAAAACAAAACAAAACAAAAAAAAAAACAACAAAGAAAATCTTATATAAAAAAAATGGTGTTCGAAAAGGCACTCAATCTTTGCAGTCGATATAGGATCGACAAAACAGCTTTGGACAAAGCAACACTTCAACGGCCTCTTGACCTCAGCATGAGTAAAAAAGAATCATGGAATTCTATATGCATTTCAAGTAGATATCGAAATATATATATAGTCTTTCTAAAGCAGATAATACTTCATAAAGATTATATTTATCCCGAAATTAGGTAACAAAATCTAGC